GGATAAGGAGCTGAAAACCTTCAAAACGAAGGCCCAGCTGACCCTGATGGCGTACAAAGAGAAGGAGAAGGCTGTGTGTGAGACAGCCGCAGAGGTCTGGTCGGCACGGACTTTCTCCGGTTTCGAAAGCTTCCTAGAAAAAGACCTCCACCTCTTCGAGACCCACGCAGCACCCAACACCCCTGCTCCTGACGCTTACCTCAAGGAGCTGGCCGCTGACTTCATGGCACGCGGCATGGCACGCGAGCTGATGTACCATGCAGTGTGGATAAAGCGCAGCCGCAACTCGAAGGCAAGGGTGACGGCTAAACGGGAGAAGGTACGGGATGAGCAAGCACGGGGGGTGGAGATTCAAGCTAACCCCTCTACCGATCTAATCGCCCTGGTGAAAACGCTGGTCAGCCCTCTGCAACAGCGAGTCGAGGCTCTGGAACAACGCCAGTCAAAGAGTGGGCCTTCGGTAGAGCCCAGGAAGCCAGCAGGAAAAAGCAAGGCACAACGCCGGAAGGAAGCAAAGAAAAAAAAGGCACGAAACCGAACCATCCCTCAGCTACCTTGGCTTGCAGATCACCCGGGACAGAGCACGCCGCACCATTACCCTGACTCAGTCACACATGGTGCAGCAGGTCCTTCAGCGCTTCGGCTTCACGTACTCCTCGCCTCAGGCCACTCCTCTGTCTACTCGCCACTCGCTCTCAGCTCTGCCTTCGGATGAGTCCGTAGAGTCGAGTGGCCCGTACCCAGAGCTTGTTGGCTGCCTCATGTACCTGATGACCTGCACACAACCTGACCTTGCATACCCTCTTAGCATTCTTGCACGCTATGTTGCTCCTGGGAGACACAGACCGGAGCACATGGCTGCAGCGAAGAGGGTGTTGCGCTACTTGTGCAGTACGTCGGGCATGGGGCTTGTGCTTGGAGGGCAGAGTCCAGTGGTCCTCACTGGGCACGCAGACGCTTCTTGGGCTGACGACCAGGCTACGCAGCGGTCGTCACAGGGTTACACCTTCAGCCTTGGTTCCGGCTCTGTTTCGTGGCGGGCTACCCGCTCGTCTTCTGTTCTCGGCTCCAGTTGTGAGGCTGAGATCTACGCCGGGGCCATGGCTGCACAGGAGCTTCGCTGGCTCACCTACCTGCTCACTGACCTCGAAGAGCCGCCTCGTTCTCCTCCAGTGCTGTACGTAGACAACAAGGCCATGCTGGCCTTGTGTCGAGAGCAGAGACTGGAGCACAGAACGAAGCACATTGCTCTCCGCTACTTCCTTGCTCGTGAGCTACAGCAGCGTGGTCAGCTACGGCTTGCGTACGTGGCCTCTGAGGCCAACACTGCTGATATCTTCACCAAGGCACTTCCGCCTTGTGATCATCAGCGCTTCTGTACTCAGCTGGGTCTTGTGCCTACCTTGCCTCACTTGCTCACCCCTTGACCTTGCTTGTACTGTTGCATATATATATATACCTGCTCTTGCTTGTCTAGCCTTATATATATATATGCAATCCTGCATGTGAACTGGCCTTGTGGCCTTGAACTTGTGCTCGGAATGTGTGGTGACTTTGTGATCCACCCTGAGCTTGTTTTGCTTTGCTTGACTGGTCTTGTGACCCCTTGTTCTCCCCCACTTTGCCTATGGGGGTGTGTCAGATTTATATGACATAGCTACTGTAGGCTATAGTGGGGTAGCACATATGGGGTACAGTTTTCTAGGGTTTGCTTTTGTACCCAACTGTCCTTTAGTCATTCTATTCCTCGTTTCTTCTCAGGATCCTTCGAATACACCGTCATGCCCTTCGGACTGACCAACGCCCCCGCCACTTTTCAAATGACCATGAACGAAGCATTCCGCCCGCTCTTAGATAAGTGCGTCATAGTATACCTGGACGACATACTGATTTACAGCCCTGACAGAGCACAGCACTTACAGGACATCGAAGCAGTTTTTCAAATACTGGGTGAGAACCGCCTACTGACAAAAGCGTCTATGTGTGAGTTTTTACAGGACCACATGGAATTTTTGGGACACGTTATTTCAGCTGCAGGAGTGGAAATAGACCCGAAGAAAATTGCGACGATTCAAGCATGGCACGCGCCGACCAACTTGACCGAATTGCAGAGTTTTTTGGGGTTCGTCAACTACGTGCGCCGGTTCGTCCCCGACATGGCGAAGCTGACTGCCCCGCTGACAGACCTGCTGAGGAAGGGGGTTGAGTACACGTGGGGGGAGCAAGAGCAAGCTGCCTTCTCGGCCCTCAAAAACATTTTGTGCTCACCGCCCGTGCTTCACATCGCAGATCCACACCGTCCGTTCGAGCTCGTCACTGACGCAAGTGACATCGCTGTGGGAGCAGTACTGTTGCAGGATTTCGGGAACGGCCTCCAGCCAATCGCGTACGAGTCCCGCAAGCTGCACCCGCCCGAACGCAACTACCCGATACACGACCGCGAAATGTTGGCGATCGTGCACGCGTTCAAGGTTTGGCGGTGTTACCTGACTGGCGCCGACGTGACAGTACGGACAGACCACCGAGCACTACAGTACCTACGCGCCCAACCAAATCTCAATCCGCGACAGATTCGCTGGTTGGACTACCTCGAGTCCAACTTCCACTACACGGTTACGTACAAGAAAAGGCGCCTCCAACATCGCCGACGCACTCACTCGCCCTACCGCCCAACTCCATGCCATCCTACTCGCCCAAACCAACCCGCTTTTAACAGGCCTATTCACCCACGGATACCGCACCGACCCGTTTTTCACGACCGGAAATTCACAGCAACTGGCAGAAGCTAAAGTAGTTTATTACGTAAAAACAGGCACCAACCGCATCTGGGTACCCGCGTACTCACTACTGAGGGAGCTGCTACTGCAGGAGGCACACGACGGAATTACCTCGGGACATTTTGGGGTAGAAAAAAACGCGACAGCAACTGCAACGGTATTACTACTGGCCGGAGCTGTTGACCGACGTGCAGCAGCACGTGGGCTCGTGCCCCACGTGTCAGGTGATGAAGAGCTCGAGGAAGCGGAAGGCGGGTCAATTGCAACCGATACCACCGCCCGAGCGCGCCTGGCAGCAGGTTACCATGGACTTCGTCACAGGGTTACCTTCGAACCCTGGGGGTAACGACGCGGTGATGGTCGTCGTTGACAGGTTGACGAAGATGGCACACTTCGCTGCGTGCAAAAAGTCGATCTCAGCCGAGGAGACCGCTCGTCTGTTCGTCGCAGCCATTGTTCGCCTGCACGGGATACCAGCAGCGATTATCAGCGACAGGGACATGAAGTTCACCAGCAACTTCTGGAAGAACCTCTGGGAGCAGTTCGGGACCAGGCTACAGTTCAGTTCGTCGTACCACCCCGAGACCGACGGTCAAACGGAGCGGACGAATCAGACAATGGAGCAGTTGATTCGTGCCACGTGCGACGACCCCACGACTTGGGAGCAGCAGCTGCCGCTGATCGAGTTCGCGTACAACAACGCCACGTCAGCGACGACGCAGCAGTCCCCCTTCTACCTGAACTACGGGCAAAATCCTATGACGTCGAGTCCGGACAACCCAACACCACGCGCACAGCAATTCGCCGAAATTCTGCAAGCTGCCCGCACCAGAGCGGCAGAAGCAGTTAAAAAAGCCAACATCATCGCTAAGCACAACGCTGACCGCCACCGCCGCCCAGTCACATACCAGTCAGGGGATTACGTACTGCTCGACACGCAAAATCTGCGACTGCCCGACGTACCAAAACTTCGACCGCGCTACTGTGGCCCATTCCAAATCAGCCACACGATCACGCCAGTAACTGCGCACCTACTGTTACCGACCGACTGGTACATCAGCCCTTTGTTCCACGTCAGCTTGCTTCGCCCATACATCCCAACCACAAGCTAACTGCCTCGCCACCGCCCGCCATCCATGACTCGCCCTGCATCAGAGCCGATCATCGAACCCGAAAAAATCCTGAGTCATCGGATTCGCCACCCCACGGGAATCAGGAGGATTGAATTCCTCGTTCGCTGGAAGGACCGCACGCCAACTGAAGATAGCTGGGTGCCCCTGGCCAACATTGAAAACCACCCTGCCCTGCAAGTGTACCTGAGGAGCCGGGGATTCCGCGATATACACGCACTCGTGTAGCGGAGGGGGCTTCTTGAGGGGGGGGGTAGTGTAAGGAATTTTCTCGGCATTCCTTACGGAGCCCAACTACATCGCGTACAGCAACAGCCGTTGTTCGCCCGTTACTGCTAACGGGACTTCGCCAACTTCGCGCGCACTGTTTTGCCAAACCTCGCACTGCTGGCCCGGCCGTGTCGGCCTACGCTTCGGGACTAGCCCGAGCCTCGCTGCCAGCATAGCACTAGCTAGCTCGCACGCACCGCGTTACCGTTTGCATGTTTCGCATATAAATGTTCGCTCATGCCTTCGCTCACATCTTTGTACTCATTTGACACCTTAGTGCAATTCTCGCTACTTCGATTCATTGCACCCGTAACATAAACTGAGCTGCTTTGAAAGTTCACTGCAGGGAAACTCCATAATGGGGAATTCGATGCATGAAGTTATTTGAGGTTTGGTTTCATGTGCCGTGCCGAACCACACCTTTCGAGTGACATGACATGCCTTCCTTGCATGAAAGCGTTCAGGTTACTCGACGGTTCCCTCGCAGTGGTGAGGTGGACAGCCTCGAGTGAGGTGGAGGCCTGTTCAGTCGGTTTGTATGGAGGCTAGGGTCTGGGCTTGCAGCTTCGGTTTCTGTCCTCTCAGCACCAGCCCGGGAGTCAGGGTTCATCACACTCAATTGTTCCGTTGCGAACACATGCCTTGGCAGTTCCTTGCCTAACAAATTTCAACTGGAGAATTGGCTTCATTGAAGTCGCACTTCTGCTGTGTCGTTCCACCCTGTAGGCAGTTATTCCAACTTCAAGCGATAAAGTGAGCCATGTCGTCTGGTTCCGGAGACAGTGGCAGTTGGCGTGGGAGGGGTCGCCGAGGGGGCCCGGAAATGAGAGGTCGGGGCAGGGGCCCTTCTGGTGGACGGGGGGGCTATCCGTCAGAAGGGGAAGGCCGAGGTCAGGGAGGCCGTTTTGGCGCGAGAGGCCGTGGGGGCGGCGGAGGAGGTCGAGGAGGAGGCGGTCGCGGGCCGCCTGCATACGAGCCGCACCTGCCGGCGCCGCAGCCTGCCTACTACGAGGCGCCTGCTGCGCCGTACGCTTCTCCAGCACCGTATGCCGCGGGACCCCCGGCTCCTGCTGCTCCTCGCCCAGTGGCGGCGCCGTCCGTCCCACCGCCTGCACCCGTTCCTCTGCCACCCACCGCAGCGCCGTCCACCGAGGCAGTCGTCGCGCAGCTCACTGGACTCGCGCTGTCTCGCCCCTCCGGCCTCACCTCTCCGTTCCCGCGACGCCCTGACCGAGGGGGCACTGTCGGGCAGATTATGAAGATCCGTGTGAACCATTTTCCGCTTCAGATTGCGGACCTCGTCATTTTTCACTACGATGTGAGTGAGACTGTAGAAAGCGGCGACAGGTAGCGGTTGAAACGTGCTTTTGCTTTATGCACCAACTATCTAACTGCTTGCGTTATGCGAATTCCAAAATGTTTTGTCTCCAGTATACACTTCATTCTCGAATCTTTCGTGCAGGTTGTTATCTCCCCTGATATTGCGATCAAGCGGATTAATCGGGAGGTGATTCGCGAGTTGTCGCGCGTGTATCATTCGTCGCATCTGGGCAATCGTCTGCTGGCCTTCGACGGCGTCAAAAACGTGTACAACGGCCGCGCCACTACCGTTCGAGGCGCAGGAGTTTCAGGTGTCTCTGCCCGACGACCGTCCAGCCCCGGCGGCAGGGGAAGCTCAGTCGCGGTAACCTCCTCACCCGTTCCCCAGCGCGCATGCTGACGTCGTTCCCCTGCATGCGCGTTGCGCACTGTGCGGCCTCTCGTACCTCATGTCGCTTGCCGCCATACATGCTTCTTCGCTCCCCTCCCCCACCCGTCCCTCCCCCACCAGTCGGCCGCGCGACCGGTCGTTCAAGGTGGTGCTGCGGCTGGCGGCGAGCGCGAGCGTGTCGCAGCTGATGGAGTTCCTGGCGGGGCGGCAGACGGAGGTGCCGCAGGAGGTGCTGCAGGCCATAGACATCGTGCTGCGGGAGCAGCCCACGCGCATGTACGTGCACGCCCCTCGCTGCTGCACGCTCTGGGTTACGTACCGTGTGTGGGTGGAGATCGTGCGGGACGCATGTGTTGTGCCGTGTCCTTGTTTTCTAAACGGCGTTCCACTTTCTGCACCTCTCCCCTCTGCCGGGTTCTCCCCGCGTGGCATGTGGCAGGTACGTGCCAGTGGCGCGGTCGTTCTTCAGCCCGGACCTGGGTCCGCGCGCGCCCATTGGCAACGGTGTGGAGGCGTGGAAGGGCTTTTATCAGAGCGTGCGCCCCCACGCAGATGGGGCTTACTCTCAACATCGGTACGCCACCACGCCTCTCGCCCTCATGCCTCCTCGCCACCACGCCTCTCGCCCTCATGCCTCCTCGCCACCACGCCTCTCGCCCTCATGCCTCCTCGCCACCACGCCTCTCGCCCTCATGCCTCCTCGCCACCACGCCTCTCGCCCTCATGCCTCCTCGCCACCACGCCTCTCGCCCTCATGCCTCCTCGCCACCACGCCTCTCGCCCTCATGCCTCCTCGCCACCACGCCTCTCGCCCTCATGCCTCCTCGCCACCACGCCTCTCGCCCTCATGCCTCCTCGCCACCACGCCTCTCGCCCTCATGCCTCCTCGCCACCACGCCTCTCGCCCTCATGCCTCCTCGCCACCACGCCTCTCGCCCTCATGCCTCCTCGCCACCACGCCTCTCGCCCTCATGCCTCCTCGCCACCACGCCTCTCGCCCTCATGCCTCCTCGCCACCACGCCTCTCGCCCTCATGCCTCCTCGCCACCACGCCTCTCGCCCTCATGCCTCCTCGCTGCCTGCCACACGTCCCCATCTTCCTCTCTTCGCGGGTTCCCTCTCCGCCTTCGTCTCCCCCACCCCCCTCCTCCCCCACCCCCTGGTCGTGAGCAGACATGGCAGCGACGGCGTTCCTGGAGCCACTGATGCTGCCTGACTTCGTGATGCGCCTGCTCAACCGCCACTCGCTGCAGCAGCCGCTCTCCGACTTCGAGCGTGTCGCGGTACGCCTCCTTCCACCCACCCCGCGCGCCACTCGCTCTTGCTGCACCCCGCGAAACCAACCGTCGTCTCTTCTTCTCCCCGCCTCCTCTGTGCACTGTTCCTGCTTAGTGCGTCACCATCTCCTCACTCTTCCCCATCCCCTTTTCCTTCTCTCGCAGCTGCGCAAGGGGCTGAGGGGCGTGCGCATAGAGGTGACGCATCGGGGGCAGATGAGGCGAAAGTACAAGCTCACGGGGCTCACCACACAGCCACTGCACGCCCTCACGTACACGCTCCCTCACCGCTCCGCCTCCCCTTGCTCTCCCTCACTCCACCGCTCCTTCCGTTACTCCTTTCCTTGCCTTCCTTTGTCGTCCTTGGCGTGTCCCCCCCGCCCACCCTCGTCCCTGCCGCCTTCCCTGCGTGCCCACCTCCCCATGGCGTGTGTGCACCACACCGCCCGTGGTGCAGGTTCCCCCTGACGACCCCCGAGGGGGAGACGCAGGTGGTGACGGTGGAGGCGTACTTCCGCCAGCACTACAACCTCGCCCTGCAGCTGCGCAACATGCCCTGCGCCACCACCGGCCAGGGCGACCGCCTCAACTACCTCCCGCTCGAGGTAACTCACCCGCCTGCCCCCCCGCCCGCCCTGCTCCCTGTGCTCGCCACGTGTGTTCTCTCCAATGCTCCGCCTGCCGTCGCCCCAAGCCTCCCTCCAAGTGCTGTTCGTCTCGCTTCTTCTTGCCTGCCCCGCACCATGCGTGTGCAAGCATGCACCATGCGCTTGTGTGCTTACTTATGCACTATCGGCACGCGCATCTGCCTGTGGGTGTGTGGCATGGGTGGGTGTGTGTGCGCACAGGTGTGTCGCATAGTGGAGGGCCAGAGGTACAATAAGAAACTCAACGAGGTGCAGACGAGCCAGATCCTTGTGCACGCCGCCCGCAAGCCGTTTGAGAGGGAGAGAGAGATCAACCAGGTCAGTGCCGCGGGGGGAAAGGGATGCTGCTTATAGCTGGATGGGGGGATGGGGGGGAGCGAAGGGGGTTGAAGGAGCGAAATGTGTGGAGGGAAGAGGAGGGAGTGGATGTGTGGGGAACGGATGAAGGAGATTGAGTTGATGTGTGAGAATGTGACAGAGTGGCTCACTTGACGTCCAGCAAAACAGCTCCCCCTTCTGTCTATACTTCAAATTTTTTATCTCCTTGCGATGTGTTGCTTTGTGTGCCGATTACTCTACCTCTTGCGTGTGCTGCATGCGTGTGTGTGTGGCGTGGCGTGGCGTGCATGCATGGCAGACGGTGCGGCACAACGCGTATGAGCGCGACCCCTTTGCGGCAGAGTTTGGCATCCGTGTGGCGCCCCAGATGGCCACCGTCAACGCTCGTGTGCTGCCCACGCCCACGGTACCAATCCACAGCTACACGCCCCCTGTGCTCTCTCCACCATGCCGCCCTCTCCGTCCACACCATGCCTCGTGCTGCCTGTGCTGCCCTGTGCTGCCGTCATGGTCGCCTGGCCCCTGTGTGCACTGCGTGCCCCCTGCAGCTCAAGTACTCAGACTCGGGTGGAGAGCGCACCGTGGTGCCGCAAGTGGGCGCCTGGAACATGATGAACAAGGTAAGCGCCCGCCACCCTGCTGCCTTGCCTTGCACGCCGTGCCGCTCTGCCTTGCGCCTTGCACCCTGCTGCTCTGCATTTCACGGCGCTGCAATGCACTAGACCATCGTGCATGCGCAGCTGTGATGGAATGATGATATGCACGCGCTGCACCTCATGCATGCAGGAAGAACCAGCATGGTGACCACACATGATTTCATCCCGCTACCCCTTCTTTTCTGCAGCGAGTGTTAACGGGGGCGGTGGTGAGGCGCTGGGCTCTGGTGAACCTGAGTCGTCTGCCGCGCCCGGCAGCGGAGCAGTTTGGCCGAGACCTCGCGCATATGTGCAACGTCACCGGCCTCGTGCGTGCTCCACCTTCTTCCTGCACGCCGCTGCTCATTCCCTTGTCTCTCCCACTCGCACCTGCTCTTGCGCGACCCACTACCCATTTGTTCTCTTGCCCGATTTTCATTTTTGTCTGGTTCCCCTTCTCTTCGATCGTTTTCCCGCCATATGCATGTGTCCACTGCAAGCATCGGTCGGTTTTCAAACAAAACAATGCTATGTGTGTGTGCGAGCAGCAAATGGAGCAGCGCATGTGTGTGCCGATGGCGGCGGGCCATCCGGGGCAGATGGAGGCGATTCTGCGCAACCTGGCACGGCAGCTGACCCCTGCGCAGCGCCCCATGCCCGATGTGGACATCGTGGTGTGCATCCTCAACGAGGGCAACGGGCCCCTCTATGGTACCCCACTCCTCTACCCCACCCACCCTCTCCCTGCCTGCTCCGCATTCGCCTCCCTGCCATTGCCCACCTCCTTGCGTTACGGTCACACAGCCCAGCAGCCACTTATGGCAACGACCGTCGTCCCCTCCCACCTGTTGTCCTCCTCTCCTTCAAATGGTGGGCTCCAGTTATGGTCTACGCCGGCATGCATCATGCATGCCTGTTGCACGCACAGCATTGGCCTGCTTGACTTCTCCCCACCAATCCCTTCCCTCGCACACACCCCCTCTCCCTGTTGGCACTGCAGGCAATCTGAAGCGGCTGTGTGAGACGGAGCTTGGCATTGTCACGCAGGTGAGCCTCCCAATCGCACCTTGCCCCTCTCATGCCTGTTGCCTCCCGCTTTTCAAAAGCACCTCATTACTGCGCGCTCCACAGTGTTACGCACTCACCGCACACATACTCACCCGCACTCCTCTTCCGTCTCTCCCCGCTCCGGCCTCCTGTGTCCGTGGTGGTGCCCATGTGTGCGTGGTGCGGTGCTGCGTGCAGTGCTGCCTTGCAACGAAGCTGGGAAAGGGAAAGCAGTATCTGGCTAATGTGGCGTTGAAGATCAACGCCAAGGTGCCCTCTCTCACCCCCCACACACTCACGTGTGCTGCTTGGTTGACTGTGGAGGAAAGGGGGAGGGAAAGAAAAGGGGACAGGAACAAGGGGAGAGGGAAAAGAAGGGGGAGGGAAATAAGGGGAGAGGGAAGGAATGGGGAGGGAAGGAAGCTACTTGTGCAAATCAAGCCTGCCTGAATGTTCTCCCCCACGCACGGCTCATGCCACCTCTTTGCCTCACTGTTCTGCTCTTGTTGCTCAACTGTGCTACGTCCCGTGGCGGCTGCATGGCATGGCATGGCATGGCATGGCATGGCATGGCATGAGCAGGTGGGGGGGCGCAACACGGCGCTGGTGGACTCGATACAGCGGCAGATCCCGCTCATCTGCCAGGAGTACACCATTCTCTTTGGTGCTGATGTCACACACCCCGCGCCAGGCGAGGACAACAGCCCATCCATTGCTGCTGTGAGCCCCCTCGCCTGCACCCCTCCGCCGCCCGTTCTAACCCTCTGCGTCCCTCCCCCGCATTGCAGTTCACCGCTGCCACTTGCCATCGCCGTTGCTACCTACCTCTCACCGCCTCCTTGTGCGCTGTGTGCCTGCTGTGCCGGCCGTGTGTGTGGGGGCACGGCACGCCCCACCAGGTGGTGGCGTCCATGGACTGGCCCGAGATGGCGCGCTACCGGGCGCTCGTCAGTGCGCAGGCGCACCGTGTGGAGATCATCCAGAACCTCTACACGTGCACGCAGGACGCCAATGGCATGCCGCAGCATGGCGGCATGGTCAGGTACCTTTCTCCTCGCCACCCTGCCCTGACCCACCTCTGTCCACCTCTGTCCACCTCTGCCTGCTTTTCTCTGCCCCGCTCTTTTTTTGCGCTGACCTGCCTTGTCGTGCGCCTTCCCCCAACCATCACGGCACTGCCTGCCTGTCCTGTGTGTGCGGCCCCTCTCCCCACGGGTGTGTGTGCGGCACAGGGAGCTGCTGATCAGTTTCTACCGCTCCACTGGCCACAAGCCCCAGCGCGTCGTCATGTACAGGTGTGCGACCCACTACACTGCAACCCTGCCGCGTAGCCCCACCCACTTTGTCTCTTACCAAAGTGCTCCGAGCCTCTCACAGCACTTGTCCGCCCTGCAACCTTGACCCCTTTCCAACGTGTTGTGCTCCCCCATCATCCACGCCACGCCCACCCGCGCATGGCCAGCTTGTCTTGCCCGCACTGCTTCCCTGCCCGTGCTTTGTGCACGTGCGTTCCGTCACCATCATTGTCCCGCCTCTCTGCCGCTGCGTCACCAGCTCCATGCCCACACTGCCCTCCTTTTCCGCCCGCCCTCCTTGCTCGCTTCCCTTGCGGCCCGTGTGTGGTCGTGCAGGGATGGACTGTGAGCGACGGGCAGTTTGCCGCAGTCAAAGAATACGAGGGTGGCGGCTATCAAGCAGGTCAGCCAGGGGTGGGGCTCTCACGCATGGGTAGGGCACTAGCGCATGGGTGAGGAAGCAGTCAGAGCGAGGCATGGCGTCAGGAAGGTGTGCAGTGTTGCTCTCTCTCGTTGCCTTCGTGCATCTCACTGCCACATCCGCTCTGCAGTGGGTGTGGGAAGGTGCTGTAGCGAGCCGCTGAGTGCGCCCATGGCAGATATGCATTGATGTGGGTGTGCTCCCATGCGTGCATGTGGTGTGCGGTGCAGGCGTGTGCATCGCTGGAGGAGAGCTACAATCCGCTGGTGACATTTGCAGTGGTGCAGAAGCGCCACCACACGCGCTTCTTCCCGTTTGACTCGCGCAACCGCAGCACCACGGACCGCAGCGGCAACGCCCTGCCTGGCACCGTGATCGACACAGGCATCTGCCACCCCACCGAGTTTGACTTCTACCTGCTCAGCCACTCCGGCATCCAGGTCAGCCACTCCCGCATCCAGGTCAGCCACTCCCGCATCCAGGTCAGCCACTCCCGCATCCAGGTCAGCCACTCCCGCATCCAGGTCAGCCGCTCCAGCACCACCGCAAATGTCAGCTCATCTCATGCATGCGCTCGAGCTAGGTGTGCCAATAATGGGATCCAAGATAACTGGGCTGATGTGTGTTGTGAATTGTCCTGTAGCAAATTGTTCTTGTGTCCCATGGTGCATCAGCGTCCTTCTCAGCATGAACCTGCCTACCTATGGCTCCTCCCCTCCCACCCTTCATACCCCCCTGTCGTTCACACCCACATACATGTGCTCTCTTTATACTTTCACCTCTCATCATGCCCACCACATTTCCACTGTCCTTCCCATCGTGTGGTGTGGTGTGTGCGGGTGGGGCATGGCAGGGCACGAGCCGCCCCACGCACTACCACGTGGTGCATGACGAGAACGGCTTTGACTCCAACACGCTGCAGCGCATGACCTACTCCATGGCCTACACGTATGCACTCGCCACTCGCAACCCATGCACGCGCCCTGCATGCTAGTGTCACGTCTTGGGCGCCACCAGGTGTACGGCGATTAGTGCAGTTGCGCTGCCTGCACGCTTACTGAGTTCTGCTGTGTTGCATGGTCGTTGCGGCACTGCTTATTCATCCTCTAGTATATTTCACCCTCCCACGCATCTCATGCCCATGTTTCTCTTGCTCTTCTTGCAGATACGCTCGCTGCACTCGTGCCGTGTCCGTGGGTGAGTGCTTCTCTTTCCCTTCACATCCTCTGCTAAATAAAATTCCTGTTGTCAGATACATGTGCTAAGCCATTGCCACAGTTGATCATTTCATGTCAGCCATCACCCATGCATCTCCACCCATGCATCTCCACCCATGCATCTCCACCCATGCGTCTCCACCCATGCGTCTCCACCCATGCGTCTCCACCCATGCGTCTCCACCCATGCGTCTCCACCCATGCATCTCCACCCATGCATCTCCACCCATGCATCTCCACCCATGCATCTCCACCCATGCATCTCCACCCATGCATCTCCACCCATGCATCTCCACCCATGCATCTCCACCCATGCATCTCCACCCATGCATCTCCACCCATGCATCTCCACCCATGCATCTCCACCCATGCATCTCCACCCATGCGTCTCCACCCATGCGTCTCCACCCATGCGTCTCCACCCATGCGTCTCCACCCATGCGTCTCCACCCATGCATCTCCACCCATGCATCTCCACCCATGCGTCTCCACCCATGCGTCTCCACCCATGCGTCTCCACCCATGCGTCTCCACCCATGCATCTCCACCCATGCATCTCCACCCATGCATCTCCACCCATGCGTCTCCACCCATGCGTCTCCACCCATGCGTCTCCCACCCATGCGTCTCCACCCATGCATCTCCACCCATGCATCTCCACCCATGCATCTCCACCCATGCATCTCCACCCATGCATCTCCACCCATGCATCTCCACCCATGCATCTTCACCCATGCATCTCCACCCATGCATCTCCACCCATGCATCTCCACCCATGCATCTCCACCCATGCATCTCCACCCATGCATCTCCACCCATGCATCTCCACCCATGCATCTCCACCCATGCGTCTCCACCCATGCGTCTCCACCCATGCGTCTCCACCCATGCATCTCCACCCATGCGTCTCCACCCATGCATCTCCACCCATGCATCTCCACCCATGCATCTCCACCCATGCATCTCCACCCATGCATCTCCACCCATGCATCTCCGCCCATGCATCTCCGCCCATGCATCTCCACCCATGCATCTCCACCCATGCATCTCCACCCATGCATCTCCACCCATGCATCTCCACCCATGCATCTCCACCCATGCATCTCCACCCATGCATCTCACCCATGCATCTCCACCCATGCGTCTCCACCCATGCGTCTCCACCCATGCGTCTCCACCCATGCGTCTCCACCCATGCGTCTCCACCCATGCGTCTCCACCCTCTCATGCGTCTCCACCCATGCGTCTCCACCCATGCGTCTCCACCCATGCGTCTCCACCCATGCGTCTCCACCCATGCGTCTCCACCCATGCGTCTCCACCCATGCGTCTCCACCCATGCGTCTCCACCCATGCGTCTCCACCCATGCGTCTCCACCCATGCGTCTCCACCCATGCGTCTCCACCCATGCATCTCCACCCATGCATCTCCACCCATGCATCTCCACCCATGCGTCTCCACCCATGCGTCTCCACCCATGCGTCTCCACCCATGCGTCTCCACCCATGCGTCTCCACCCATGCGTCTCCACCCATGCGTCTCCACCCATGCGTCTCCACCCATGCATCTCCACCCATGCATCTCCACCCATTCATCTCCACCCATGCGTCTCCACCCATGCGTCTCCACCCACGCATCTCCACCCATGCATCTCCACCCATGCATCTCCACCCATGCATCTCCACCCATGCATCTCCAACCATGCATCTCCACCCATGCATCTTCACCCATCCATCTCCACCCATGCATCTCCACCCATGCATCTCCACCCATGCATCTCCACCCATGCATCTCCACCCATGCATCTATTGGCACATCATAGAACTCGTCGTTTCTCTGCCGTCTATCCCACCGTGTCCCCATTGGCAGTGCCGCCGGCGTACTACGCGCACATAGTGGCGTTCCGAGCGCGCTTCTACATGGACCCCGACCAGTTCTCTGACTCGGGCTCGCAGTCCACCGCCTTTGAGCACGCACCTGCTGCCCCCGCGCCCTCCACCGCCACGGGCACGTCTGCCACCACGGGGGAGAGCTCCGGCAGCCGCAGCAGCCGCAGCGCTGGCGAAGTGGTGGTGCGCCCGCTGCCACCCCTGCAGGGCCGCGTCAGGGAGCACATGTTCTTCTGCTGAGGGGTGTGCGTGTGCTGCGCATGGCTGCCAGATGCGGGTGCGCTCACACAATGGTCCCGCTTGGACCCGCATGTTTGTCCTTGCTGCATGTTGATTTTTCATGGGCATTGGTTCTTCGCCACAGTCAGACTGCAATTGTGTCTGCTTGCGTTTGATACAATGTGTGTGTATGCGTGCACCAGGGCTCTCGCTAGGATTCAAGCCTGTCTGACAGGATGGGTAAAAAAAAAAAAATCGTCTTATGCTCAGATTGGCGTTTTTTTTTCGTCTGACCTCTAGGACGAAACAATAACACAAGTCTTATTAGACAGATGAACTATTCTACATGGTCTACACTAACTACATCAAATCTACAACATACAATGCGAAAACTAAGTATCATTTCACCATTCTACGTATCAGTCAGACTCGCTACCACTATCATCAGCATCACTACAGCTGTCTAGGCTATCAGACGGCACTGGAATAGGATAGTTAGCATTCCCCTTGCGACTGAGCCAGGGGAACTCTGCATCCAGCCTGGCTGCTTCTGCTACTGCTGCCGCTTCGCGTGCTGCTGCCTCTGCCGCAGCCACAGCAGCTGCTGCTGCTGCTGCCTCTGCTGCTGCTGCGGATCTTCTTTTATTGCGCTTGCTCTCCCTCTCCACTCCCGCCAACAACACATCCTTTGCAGGCCTCCTCTTCTTGGATTTGCGCCACCGAGCCACCAACTCGGGCCACTCCATGTTGTAGCTCAGAAGAGACACGGTCATGAGCTCACCAAGCTTGGCGTCGCACAGGTTCCCCCTCAGCCAGCTCTTGATCACATTTTGCCGCGAGAACCCGCGCTCGCACTCCACAGTGCTCAGCGGGAGCACGGCTACAGCGATCCACAGGCGGACAATGTTGGGGTAGCTCGTTGTCCAATCTGGTGAGGAGAGCGTGTGCTTCAGGCCCTCCGCGAAGCCGACATCCTCCTGGTGGGTGCTCATGATTGTCGCGAAGGTGTTGAGCTCCCTCTGTGCTTTGGCCCAGTCCACACCTGTACGAATGGGCGGGTGAATAGAGGAAGACAGAGATGCGGCCGCATGAATACAAATGTAACGCGACGCGGTTTCAAAACGATTAAGCCTGAGATCTCACGACAATACGCCTAACACACCTGGCAGAGTGTCCGGATCCTCGGGATGCAACGACGGGGATCGACTTGCCCCGTGTGAGAAAATCTAGCGCTGAGACTCCAGGGAGGTCTAACTCCTCTGGAATGGCCATCAGGGGGTATGGCGAAAGTGGAAAACTGCACTGCGGGGGCCTAGTCGAGTGCAGCGGAAGAAAAGGATGTAGAAGATGGACGGTGTGCCCCCAGCCTGGTCCCTCAAACCCTCGTCCCGTAGCGCGGCAGAGTGATACGCGGTGCGAGTGTGGGCGGGGAACCACAGTTACGTGCATCCGCGATGCATATAGGTCAGGGCCCGTGCTAGGATTTGGGGCACCCTGAGGCCTCAGGGCACCTTTCCGGAATCGTAAAAAATGCCCTGATTTGTCAGGGCAAATTTTCGAAGCCTTCCTGTATGTTCAGGGCTTTTTCAGAAATCAATCCTGACCTGTCAGGGCAAAAAACCCTGTGTTCAGGGTTTAGATTGGTTGGTTGACAGAGTTAAAGTTGAAGAACGGGGTGGGTTCGATCCCAGGAACCTTATCTATCGAAAGTATCTTTCTACTGACTAGGCCACTTCTGGATGGTTGGATGGATGAATAAGTGTTCCAAGGTCGTTTTGCGTACGGAGACAAAAATCCCCGGGGAAAATTTCCCCAGGTACGGGACTCCCCCCCCCCCCCCAACAAAAAACGCGTCAGGGCAGGCCTCTGCATTCATCCTGACGCTACAGGGAAGAACACTACAGCCATTCTGAATGTTCAGGGCATTTCATATAACAACATCCTGAGACCTCAGAGTAAAAATTTACACTATTCTGAAATGACAGGGTAAATTCAAAACTGCATCCTGAATTCAGGGTAATCAGGATGTTTTGCCCTGATAACGTGGGGCCTGATACAGGTCACCCCATCGCACAAAAGGACAGTGTCGGTGCCTGGGTGTGGCTGGCATCGGCGCCGACACCCACGCAGCGACAAAGTGCTGGCAGCATCTGACATGGTTAACTGCTGCCAGCGTGCTGTTTCCTCCAGCGCGGATGCTACGGGACAGAAGCATTCATTACGCATGCATGTATAGATGCTGGCAGATACCCTAACTAGTGGCCCTATGGACAAGTGGGCACAAATGATGGTTTCAGACGGAATCGTACTCGTTATCTGGATTCTCAGATGAAGAATAGTATGCGATCTGAAAATTTATCTGAAGTAAAATCATTTGTCTTACTGATCATCTGAAAATAAAAACAGAGTCTTACAGATCATCTGAAGTAAGAAAATGAAGTCTGAAACGCAGACCATCAGACCAAATTGGTCTGATAACGAGGGCCCTGGCGTGCACACTGTGTGCGTGCGTTTCATTCGTGGAGTAGTTGGCAGTGTCGTTGGCAAAGTAGTGGAGCCTCAAAAAGCCAATTATGGAACATTGGCTTTTGTAAAAAGAGCATGCCAAGACCTGTTTCTCTCGTCCTTGTTGATTGATGATTTGTAAATATTTTTTTTTCTGGTTCAGTCAGTTACAACTTGCTTGCAGACTTGCAGTGTACAAACAGAAAGTGCAGAGTGTGCCGTCGAAGGCAACTGAACTGAGTGAGAACGCGTCTTTTATAAAAAATACCACGTCGGAGACCTCTCGTTCCAGCTCGTTACAGTCTTCGTCACATCAGCCCTCGTCATCGTCACCGTCGTCGTCAGTGCCGAAGCGCGCCGAGAATCTGTTGTGGTGGCAAAACCTACCACGAGCAGCCGACTCAATGTTAGACTTCGCGAAATCAGGGGGTGTTTGCGACAAGTCTTTCGATTGAAGTGTAGAGGGCAAACGTCGCAACAATCCGTCGCGATCAGTCGCTGGTTGGTGCACGAAGCTTTTTCAGTCCAGCCGAATCGACTGGAGGGTGGTGGTTGGGCGGAAGGCAAAGGGACAAGTGGAGTGGGGCTGGCGGCGAGGCGAGGCGAGACGGGAAGAGCAAGAAGCAAAGAGGGAGCTGACAGGTGGACGGGCGCTTATTGGGAAGCCCGTCACCTGCAAGGCTCTCTATTCCCAATGTTGGCAATGCAAACTGAACCACAAACTTGCTTTCCTAGCATCTTTCGCGCTGCAGTCTCCCGTAGTCAGGGTGTTCGTATAGAAGACGTCAGCCCTAGTCCGTTCGGCCAAACCGGAGCATGGGCATGCGTGGATATATCGCCGTCTCGTGATTGCATGTGAGCTTGTCTGCGTGCCTTGCCACGTGTTAAACGTTCCTCGCTAAACGCTGTTGTCTCTCCACGCGAAAAAGGCAGTCTTGACCGCCCCTATTGTCCGAGCGATTCTTTTCCGTCGTTTATTCAGACCTTGTCACCCTGACCCACCGTCGTACTTGCTGCACCCATAAAAACATATTTCGCAATCCGCATAATATCCTGTCCTCCGTGTCCCCGCTCTCGTGGTCACTGCTCCCCCCACTCCCCGTCCTCAATGCTCCGCCTACTCGATACGCGCAGCTCCGTTACAACGGATAAGCACTTTGGCTGTTTCGGTACAGGGTGGAGCAGTCGGGAGCGCGGAGAGGGGGGGCACGAGGCGCGCGAGGATGGGGTGCTGCCTGTCCAAGCCGGACGTGCTCGGCGCGTCTCAAAGCGGAGCCGCTCCCGCCAAGGCGCAGAAGGGCAGCGTAGTGGATGGCGAGGCGCAAGCGGATAAGGCGGAGGCGGGGAAAACGGTGAAAGCAATTGGTAAGCTGCGCGCACGGTGGTTGTCGGGTTGGGTGGGGACCGTGGGAGGAGGCAGAAAGGGGAGGGGCGTCGCGGGGGATTGTTTTTCTCGGACAGGTTTAATGACAATGCGCGCACCGAGGTTGAGACGCAAGGGAAGGCGCGGAAAGAAAGGCTGGAAGGTCACCGCAATGTTGTTGCGCCATGCGCCGTGCGCCCATGGCTGTTGCCCGTGACCCATCTTGCCGCCTCTACCTCTGCCTTTCCCTCTTTCTCCACTCTTCTTTTCCCCCGCTGCCGCGCAGACGGACTCGCGGGCGCAGCAGCAGGGGCGGTGGCGGGAGGCGAGGAGGCGATGGCGGACGCGGAGGAGTTCGCGGACGCGCAGTCGGCGGCTGACGTGGACGACGACTTCAAGAGCGCCGGAGCAGGTGCGTCCACCTCCCTTGCCGCCGTGCCTGCTGCCTACCGTCCTGCTGCCGACCTGCCTGCCGGCCGGCCTCCCGGTCTGTATGCGAGCTTGCTGCTACTGGGTGTGTGCGCGCTGTTAGGACGCGCGCGCTGATGCACGTGTTTCCGCCCGTGCGCCCCGCCGTGCCGTTGGCAGAGTCGCTGTCGTCCGTGAGCTGCCTGAGCTACCAGATCGAGTCGCTGCAGCCCTCCACGCCCTCCGCGCGCAAGAACCTCGACTTCCCTTCCCCTTCCGCGCAACCTAGCGGTGGGGAGAAGGCGGCGGAAGGGGGGATAGCAGGGGAGGACGGAAAAGGCGTAGTGGTTGCGGTTGGGGAGGGGGAAGGCGGGGAGGAAACGGGTAGGAGGTTCAAAGGGGCTGGGAGAAGGGGGACAAGGCGCAAGCGGGTGCGGAGGAGGCGGAGGAAACAGCGGCCGCGGAGGTAAGCGGCGAGGAAAAAGCGGCGGCCGCGGCGGCATCGATGGGGTGTTTGAGCGCGGTGGTGCCGGCGGACGGCGTGACCATGAATTGCCTGAGCGGCGGGGACAGGCGCGACGGGCGCGCGGACGAGGGGCGCTCCATGTGGGCGGGGATGGCGCTGTGGGGGAAGAAGGAGGGGGGCGCGGGGAAGGGGGAGGACGGTGCGACGAAGGAAAGCGCGGCAGCGAAGGATGGGGAGGAGGTGGGCGCGAAAGCGGAAGGGAACTAGCAGAGGCGGGCGAGGGAGGAGGGGAGGGCGACGTGCTTCCCCAAGCTGAGGCGAAAAAGCGGGAAGGCGGCCGGCAGCAGCGGACACGTGGCGGATGAGGAGAAGTTGGCGGACGCTGGGGGGGACGCGAGGGGCGAGGGGCAAGCGGAGGCGATGGGGGAGGAGCAGGCGGGGCAGTCAGTGCGGCGGAAGGGTGTTCGGGGAGGACATCCCTGTGCACCCCAACGTGGCGCTCAACGCCTTCATGAAGGCCCGTGAGTCCCCGCCAAGCCCCCCGCCCCCCTGCCACGCACGTCCCCTACTTCCCACCCTTCCCTCCTCACTTCTCCCACCCCGCTCCCTTGGACTCGTTCCCCTCCCTCTCCCCGCTCGTCGCCCTCTCCCCACAGCCCGCATTGTGCTTGTCCCCATCCCCTCCTGCTCTGCTGCCAACCCCTTCCGCCTTTACCTCCCGCGCCGTCCCGCCATCCGCCCTTGCGCCCTGACGCCCGCCGTGCTGCGCAGAGCGGAGCGAGGCGCCAGCAGGCATGGCGATGGGAAAGGCCGCGGAGGCGCAAGGGAGGGCGGAAGCCATGGAGGATCAGGGGGCAGAGGCAGCGCAGGAGGGGGGTGGCGCGGAGCAGCGTGCGGAGCAGCAAGGGGGAGGTGGAGTAGGCGGGAGGCAGCAGGGTGCAGAGGGTGATGCGGTGGGGGGCTGTGAGGGCAGCAGCGGAGGAGGATGAGGAGGAGGAGTTTCTGAGCGTGGGCAGTGGTGAAGACGCGCATTCCCTAGGTGCGACGCCCAAGGGGGCGCTGCTGCTGCCCCTCGCCTGTCGCCCATGCTCCTTGCCTCCACTGTAGCGCACACTTGCCAGTCATGCACACGCTTGCATGCACAGGCGCGCACACACACACGCACAGACCCACATGAGTGTGCGCACACACGTCACTCAACGCATGCACGCACATGCACATGTGCACACAAACACAAAGACACACACACACACACACACACACACACACAGCACACACACACCACACACACACACACACGCATGCACGCATGCACACACACATGCACACACACATGCACACATGTATGCACACACACACACACACACACACGCATGCGCGCACACACACACACACACACACACACACACACACACACACACACACACACACACGCACGCACACACACGTGCATGCATGCACACACACACATGCATGCATGCATGTACATTCAGCAGCAACTTCATCTGGCTTATCGTCTATCCTTCCCATGCCTGCCGTGACCGCCCCCTCGCCCCGCTGTCAGGGTCCGCACCATCGCCCACCGCCTCTCCATCGCAACCGCCCGCAGGCCCTCCTCGCCACCGTCCCTTTCCCCTGCTGCGCTCGCCACCCCCCTGGCCGCCAAGTTACCCCACGAGCTGCCACCTGTGCAGGAGTTGGACGAGGAAACAGAGGCAGGGGGCCAGGCGACGGCTCATCCACGCCCCCTGCTGCGCCCGACACGCCCCCCCTCGCCCCCCCCCCCACCCGCATCGTCGCAGCTCACCCCCACCATCGCCCCCTTGGCCTCCACGCCCGCCTCCGCCTCCTCTGCTTGCGCCCTGCCTGCCGTGCTGCCCCCTGCTGCCGTGCTGCCTGGCAATGCGGCGAGCGAGGGGGCGGTGGCGGCGATGGTGGGGTGTGAGGCGGATGGCAGCGCTGCCTTGCCTGCTTGCCGCTCAAGATGCTGGGCCACAACTCACCTGCTCACAGTAGTGCCCTTCCACCCGCTGCTGCTGCTCTTGCTGCTTCTGCTGCAGTCCACTGCCATGACCACGACACTGAACCACTTCTACCTGCAACCACTGATGTTCCCCCCCCAACCTGCTGCTCTTACCAAACCTGCTGCTTCCATTGTAACAGATTTCCTGGCGAGCCTGCTGCTCCTACCGAACCTGCTGCTCCTACCGAACCTGCTGCGCCTGTCGACCTGCTGCTCCTGCCGAACCTGCTGCTCCTGCCGAACCTGCTGCTCCTACCGAACCTGCTGCTCCTGTCGAACCTGCTGCTCCTGCCGAACCTGCTGCTCCTTGCCAAACTTGCTGCTCCTGCCGAACCTGCTGCTCCTTGCCGAACCTGCTGCTCCTGCCGAACCTGCTGCTCCTGCCGAACCTGCTGCTCTCACCGAACCCGAAGCTCTTACTGAACCTGCTGCTCCCACTGAACCCGATGCTCCCACCGAACCTGCTGCCCTGCTGAACCTGCTGCTCCCACCGAACCTGGTGCTCCCACTGAACCTGCTGCCTCAGTCCGAACCTGTTGTTCCAGCGGATGCTGCTGCTCCCCCCGACCTATCCACCCTCCCTTCGTCCACCGGTGCACACACTGCCCCCTCCGCCGCCTCCTCGCTCCCATCTCTTCATCCCCATCAAAATCCGCCCCTTCTCCCTCTCCCTCTCCACCTCCTCATCTTGCTGCTGCACCCGCGCCACCCTCGCCCTCCCCCTCGCGCCCGCCCCCCCAGCGCCCCCCCCGCGCACCGCCTTGTGTCCTTCCTGCGCCGCCCCTCCTCCCCCGGCCGCCATGCCCCCCCGCGCCGCTCCTGCTCCGACGCCTCCGCCTCCACCGCCCGCCGTGCTGCTAGGCCACCTGCCGTGTTCCACGCGGAGGGAGGGGGGGCGGAGAGGAAGGGCGCGGACAAGGGGCAGCAGCGGGTCCTGCCACCGTGCCGCACGCGGTGTCCCATGTCTCCGCTGCGCCCGCCCCCCCTGCGGCACGGGCAGTAGTGTGCTGCAGCGCGCTGCAACTCGCTGCAGCTGTCCTGCCATGTCGCCCCTGGGCGCCAACAGCCCCGGCCTCTTCCTCATTCTGCCAGCGGTGAGCTGTGTGGGGGGCCGTCAGGGAGACGTGGGGAGGGGATGATGGAGGCAGTACGTGCATCCATGGCAGGTCACAAGGGGCACCATCGGCTCACTGAATTGCCCACCTCTCCGTCCTCCTTCCTCTTCCATCCCTGTCCTTCTTTCTTCTCTCTCCCCTCCCTTTCCCCTTCCCTCCTTCCTCCCATCCCTCTTCTCCTTGCCCCCCGACCCCCGTCCACCCCTGCAGTGCGCAGCACTCCCGCAGCCCCTGGCGGGGCAGCTGCCGCGCCTCTCGCCCTCTGAGTACGCCGCGCACCTGGAGGCGGAAGCCACCGCCGCGGCTGCCAGCAGTGTGGGGCAGGGCGGCAGTGATTGCGGGCTCGTGGCAGGGCGAGGGTGGGGTGTCGTTTGCGCAGGGGGGCCAGGCGGACAGCCACAGCTGCACGCACTTCTGGACGCCCGTGGCGCCCTCGTGCTTCCACTGTGCGCGGCCCCGACTACTTCTCGTGAGTGCACTGTGCTGCTGCGGCGCCCACGCACTCATGCATCAACCATGCGCCACACCCTCATTGCTCACTCACACCCCACACTCCTCTCCCCGCTCCCCTGCGCCCGTTAACCCACCCGCATCTGCCCCCAGCACGGCGTGTGAGCGGGCAGCGCACCCAGTGGCGCCATACGTGGTGACGGCGTGGACGTGTTCCGCGCGCCCACCAAGCTCACCCACAGTCGCCCGCCTCGTGCACCTGCCCTGGCCCCCTCTCCTCCTTCCCCCACGCCCATGCCTCCTCCAGCCGCCCCCTCCCCCGCTGCCTCGCCCTCCCGCCACACGCTTCTGACGCCAGTAACGCCGCACCAGCGCCGCTGATTCAGCGGGGGGGCAGCAGCGCATGTGGGCAGTGCGCTGAGTGCACGCGAGGGTGGCGGCACTGGTTTCGGCGTGGCCGCCGTACCTCGTCATCACATCCAGGTCAGCCCTGCTCCGCGTGCTGGGGGTGCTGCTGGCCCTGCGTACCCACACCCCTCTTTCGGTATACCACTCACTCACTCACTGCATGCCCACGTTGCTCATCCCCTGCAACCCCACTCTTCTCCCCCTTCCCTTGTTCCCTGGTCCGGCCATCCGCCAGGCGCCCATGCAGCTGGCGAGGCAGAGCCCCACGCGCACGAGGCGGTGGAGGCGCCCCCAGCGGTGGCGCAAGGGGGGCCGCGCGGAGGGCGTGAGCGTGGTGCTCTATGCGCAGATCTGCACCGATTTCTTCCTCTCTGCTCCGCCCAACATGCTGCCGCTGCTGCAGGTGCGCCCGTCGTGGTGCAGTGCGGTGAATCATGGTGGTGTGTCCTGTGCTGCGATGCCTTGCGTGGTGTGTCTGGTGTGATGAGGGTGCATGTGTCTGTAGTGCCGTCACGTGCATGCATGGCCAGGAGATACCATGGTGTTGTGTGCATGTGTGCAAGACGTGTCCCACAGCAGGCGTCACAGCGGGCGATGAGGCCTTGAAGTCTGACATCTCTGTGCGTGCGGTGTGCATGGCAGGGCATGGCGCGCGGCTTCATGGCGGAGGGTGTGGGGGGGTCCGTGCCGTTCCGCGAGCGCGTCAAGCTCACCCTCGTCAAGCGCGCCCAGCCACACGCGGGCCATGGCCAACGGGCGGGCGAGCGCGTGGGGGGGGAGAGCGCGGGGGAGGGGGGGGGGAGAGAGTGTGGGGGAAGGTGATGGGGGGAAGGCACGGGAGGGGGTAGCAGAGGAGAGTGGCGTGGAGGAAGGGGATGCGAGAGGCAAGGAGAGGCAGCAGTGAAAGCGGAGGAGGGGACGGCCGAGGGTGGCAGTGATGGGAGCAGTGGAGCGGGGGATGAGAGTGCGTCTCTGCTCGTGCATCCCTGCCAGATGTTCTTCCGGGTAACTCTCTCTGACCCACCTGCCCTGCTGCTCACCTTGCGGGTCAGCAGTGGTGCATGTGTGACCCTGGTGCAAGGATCAGTGCGTGGGTAACGCCTGCGCAACCTTGCCGTGCCATCCGTCCTCACCCCCTTGCAATCCACTCATTCCAACCACACCTCGCATTCTTCCCCCACCCACTCTCTCCCTCTCCCCTCCTCTCACTCTCATTAGCACACGCCCACTATCCCTCGGCCTCTCGACCCAAGCTCACACCCTCTCCCCGCGGCCCCTTTGTGGTGCCTGTGCCCCCCCCAGGGTCCCGACTACCTGGAGGTGGACGTCGACTTGCACCGCGTGCCGGACGACCGCCGCCACCCCGCTGCTGGTGCGTGCTGCGGGGCTGCCCACCCACCATGTGGACATCGCCATCGTCTCCCAGGTGACTGCCATGTGCTGCCTGCCTCATCTCACATGCCTCCCTCTACTCCCTGCCAGGCCACTGCACTGCCAGGCGACTGCCCTGCCCTGGCAGCCCTGTGTCACTCTCCATCTCCACGCATGTGTCCCTCATCATCACTCACCCCTTGTCTCTGCACACCCCTCGCTTCTCATGCATCTCAACCTGGTGCCCCGTCCACTGGGCGTGGCGTGCGTGCCCCCTGGCAGGGCAACAATGAGTGGGAGGTACCGGAGCCGTGGTGGCGTGTGCCAGGCTGGGCCACATCGATGCTGACCTCCTCACCACCTGCGCCACATGCCCTGACACCTGCTGTGCCCTGCTGGCTCCGCTGAAATCCTGGTAGCCACATCTTTAGAGCTCTTCAGCTGCTTGCTCATAAGTAGGTTCCCTGCGTCGCACTTCCCTTAACTGCTGTTGCGGCTTGTAGGTACGGTAGTCACTAGCTGTTGTAGTCATGCTCACATGTAGGGAAGCAATACTGCCAGTATCGTGGTAGCATTACGATGTGTTGTTTATATACTAGGCTAGTCCTGATGAAACCCAATCTAATATTATTGAATGTAGTCACCTTAGCATTGGGGTTGAAGTGGTTGTACAAATACTGCCATTTCCTGGATGGGTTCCCCTTGAGCGTGTAAACGTTTAGAGTTCCATCTGAAAAGGATGGTAATGGCCTACCGGTGCATGGATGCTTCTCAAATGGCCCTATGTGAGCAATAGGACCATAACTTACCGTAGGTGACACCGATACCAAATGATGGCTAGCCACTGTAGCAGGCCTCAGTAATCACGCTTGCGCGCATCAGGTGGAGATGACGGTGCACTCGAGCACGAGGGGCTTCGCCTCCAGCTCGGAGGCGAGCTTCTCAAAGAGCGACTGCAGCATGCCGCGCAGCTCAGCGTGGTCCAGGAAGCCGCTGTCGTCCATGTCCGCCGCCACGAACAGCTCGCGGTAGAACCCCTCCGCGTCCTTAGCCACGGGCGGTGGCAGCCCCAGCGACGGGCCCAGCCCCGCCAGCCCCGCGGAGACGTCCCGGCAGGACAGCTTGCCGTGGTTGTGCGTGTCCCAGTCGCGGAACAGCTCCTCCGCCACCGCCTGCAGCTGCTCCGGACTCTGCAGCAGCTTGCGCAGGCGCGAGCCGTTGAGCACGGCACGGTGGCGCTGTGGCCCAGCAGCACAGGGTGCTCCTCCAGGCGCACCGCCACGTCCCCCAGCATGTCGCGTAGCAGCGCACTGAAGTCGCCGCGGCTCAGCTCACGCTTGCCGTGGCCGTACTCGCCACCACGTCCGCCACCACCGTGTCCGCGTTCTCCCTCACTGCTCCCGGGACAGGGGGGATCAGGTCAGGGGCCGCGTGGTTAGCAGATGGAGGTGAAGGTTGTGCAGTGATTCAGGGCCGACAGAATGACGCGCGGGAAGGGAGAAGGCAAGCAGGAGGAGCGGCAGGGAGCATGTCCACATGGGCAGGCAAGAATGACGGGCGCGTGGCTTACAGCGCCGCGGGGGGGAGGCCCATGGCGACGCCCATGGCCTGCAGCGCGGGGCTGAGCTCGGAGAAGGAAAGCACCCCGTTGCCATCCGTGTCGATGGCTGTGAATACCTCCCCCGCCATGCCCTCAAACTCCGCCTCCGCCTCTGGCGCCAGCAGCTGCCGCAGGCGCGCTCCGTCCAGCGACAAGAGCACCAGCGGGTCCTCTGCATCCCCAGGGCACGGGGCAGAGGGGAAGGGCGGGGGAGGGTGGAGGGGGAGGGGAGAGGGAAGAAGACATGGAGAAGTGTGGGACAGGGTATGAGAGGAGGTGAGTGGTAAGGTGGGATGGGCAGCGCATGGGATGGGCAGCCATGGGATGGGCAGCGCATGGGATGGGCAGCGCATGGGATGGGCAGCGCATGGGATGGTGGCCAAGAAGGCCGACCACTACAAATCGGGCGGCCTATGTAAGGGTCTTCCCGCTCCTGGTGGAAACCTATGGCTGCCCCTGCGGAGAGGTCCCGGCCTTGCTCAAACTCATAGGCGAGGCAGCTGCCTGTGTGCACTTGAACGCGGATCCGACGTTGTTCCAGGCTGCGAAGCTGTTCCATCGGTTTCGGCAGTGCTGGGCCATCTCCCCGCAGCAGGGGCAGGCAATGAGCTACCTCTCCAAGCTCACCCTCGCGACCCGGTTTAAGGACCCGCCGGTGGGAGGAGCGGACGGGGCGTTGAACCTCGGGAATTGCTTCACAACCCTAAAGCACAGCATTGAATTCCAGTAGAGTAGAAGTAGAGGGGGACTCGGTAGGGTCTCACCTCGCCTTGATTACCCCTGGCTGTAACGAAATACTACATACATGAAGCACCATGCGAGAGAGAGCGGGTGTGGGAGATGGAGAGGAAAGGGAGAGGGGCGGGTGCAGGGGGTTGGGGAGAGGCGTTTTGGGTGGTGCGTGCCTTTCATCTTGAGCGCGACAGCAGAGAGCACTTGCTTGGAGAGCTGCACGAAGGTATGTTGGTCCACATGGTCGGCGTCGGGGTCGTCAGACACCACGCTCGCGAACATGCCCGCCACGAACGCGTCCAGCTGCTCCTGTGTGCCAGGCGGCGGCAGCCCCAGCAGCTGCGCCACCTGCAGGGAACGCAGGCTGCAGCTCGGCGCGCGAGAGGCGGCCGTCGCTGTTGCGGTCGAGCAGGTCGAACTTGGAGGCGAGGAACGCGTCCATCTGCGCCTCGTCCGCCACCAGCTGCTGCAGCTTCTTGCCGTCCAGCACCTCGCCGCCCATCGGCAGGTCCACCACCACGCTCACGCCCCAGCACGATGGGTTCTGCTCCAGCTGCTGCGC